TTAATAAACAGCTGTTTTTCTAAATTCTGCTGAGGTGAAATTCAGTGCAGTCCTGTATCGTGATACGTATTGTATCGTGGCCTCTGTATCGTGATACGTATCGTATCGTGACTTTGCTGGTGATACACAGCCCTAGTCTTCAGTGTCACATGATCCTTCAGAAATCATTCTAATATGCTGATTTGCTCTTCAAAAACATTTCTTCTTATTATTATCAATGTTGAAAACAGTTGGGCTGCTTAATAGGTTTGTGGAAACAGTGATGCATTTTTTCAGGATTCACTGATGAATCAAAGAAGTTCAAAAGAAAACCTTTTATTTGTAACAATGTAAAACTCTATGCTGTCACTCTGGATAAATGTAATGCTTCCTTGCTGAATAAAAGTATTAATTTCTTTCAAAGAAATCATACTGACCCGAAGCTTCCAAACGATACTGTGTATTTTAGAAAGAACTTGAAAAAATACATTTAAAATGTGACAAAACCACCAGTTTTATGCAAGATCCACAGTTATATTGTCCTCCTCACTCATTTACACGGACAAAGCCCGTCACAGAGTCTGGGACTGAAAATTACAAGAAAATACATAAACGTGTAGAAAGTACATACTTGAGTTTAGTGTTTGCCGTGTTTTAGCACTTGTGCAGTATGCTTCGATCACTTTCAGGATCTGAGCATCCTCCTCCAGAGCTACAGTGCCTGATTGAAAACAAGAAGAGTATATAAAAGATGCCAGTGGTAAGGTAACATTGTGAGAATATAATAAAGGCACTATAATCAATGCACTATAACGTACACACAAAAGCAATACATGTGATGTGTTTGTAATAAATACATTACATGCATATGCAAAAAGAAACAGAACTTTATTAAACTTTACGAAATCATTAGTGTCATACTTTTTCTGACAGTAAATTCCTCATCAGATGGCTTCCTCTCAGGTTTTCGTTTGGGCAGAAGCTTCTTCATACTTTTGGGACTTTTACTCAAGTCCTGAAGGACATAAGAAAATTAGATGCAAATATCCAAATTAAATCTCATACAAAAGAAGTTTCTTTAATAATTAAAGGTTAGCTAATAAATAATGTTTTATCCATAGGTTTATAGCAATTCTTCTTCTAGAGATGCTATTAATGTGTCAACATACACGTGTAACATGGCACATAACATGATACCTCTTTGTAACACAATGCAGCTGAGGGTTTTAGGGGTGGTGCAGGTCGGAGACAGCTGAGACTCCAGGGCTTCTGGGTTTTGGGGGGTTCGAGGGGCCCCCACATCATACCGCTGTGAGGGGTTCCAAGTGAAGAGAGGTGAGGAAGAGTGTGGTAGACGGGAGATCCGCTCACACCTCGATTCTCTGAGTGTCTGGACGGGGTGAGAGGGTGAGACGGCAGCTGAACAGGAAGGAGAAGGGCCAGTGAGTGACACTGAATATCGCTGAATATCATATATATATATATAAAATGCAGCCTTGTTGAGCATAAGAATTTCATTTCAAAAACATTAAAAGATTGTACTGACCCCAAACTCTTCAACGGTTGTGTGTGTTTCTCACCGTATGGCAGGGAACATTCTGTGGTTTCAAGTTGCTGGTTGAAGTGCGATTGGTTTGCCGGTGTAAATGATCCACCCAGTCATGAAGATCTTGCTGGTTATTACAGATCACCTGGATCCGCTCGATCATATTTCCTGCACACACACACATCATTACTGCTCAAGTATATGTATTCTCAGTATCTAGCAATATTAACATTTGACATGAGGGCAACTGGGTGGGAAACTCACCAGATATTTCGAAAGTATTTTTCGTGGTGTCACTGTCCTCTATTTTATTTACAGTCATTCCAGTCAGAGGCAGCTTCCCCTGTGTAAGTCAATCAACCAAACCAATCAGCTGTCAGCATTTTAGAGTGTTATTAATGCATGAACAACCAAACAAACAGCTGAGGTCCATTCTGAGGTCATTCTAATAGAGTAGTGTAATATTAGAGTAATATGAAATAATAATAGAATAATATGGAGTATGAAATTCAGAGGATTTAGGATTTTATTGCTAAACTATCAAAACATGAAACAATAATATAAAACATGTAAAATGTACAGTATGTAATCAGTGACTGTGAAAGCAGCATCTACGTTTAAAGGTGGGGTAAGCAATTTCTGGTAGCCAATGTTGATATTTCAAATCACCAAAACAAACACGCCCCTACCCCAAAAGGGTCTCACCCCTATTTTGATAGCTCCGCCCCACACATACGTACGCAACCCAGGCAACGATTAGTTCTGTTAAACAAAGCAAAACCAATGTTACACCATGTCTACACCGGACGCGAGCGGCGCGACAAAATACTATAGAACTCATTATAATCAGTGATGCTGTCTACACTATATATATATATATATATATACACATACATATCTATGGTCTACACTGGATGCGCGGCACGACAGAAAACTTCTGCTGCGTTCTATTCATGACGTATTGACACAACTAGACAGACTTTAGCTGTTGCGGCGCAGACACGGTGTTACTCACCTATCGAGAAGAAACAAAGCAACCTCGGCGTCCCAATTGTGTATTTTCGTAAATATTTATATACCATTGTCACCATTTGCCATGTGCATGAGAGTGATTTCAGTAATTATACAAAAATAAAAAATTTATTTATTAATTGATGCTTAAAGGGGTCATATGATGCGATTTCAATTTTTCCTTTCTCTTTGGAGTGTTATATGACCCCTTTAATATCAAAATACTAATTACATAAATACATAATGATTGTTGGTGGGTTTTCACTGCAATACACACCAGAAAAAACTAAAATATTACTACAATATTGGGAAAAACAGCAGCAAAGTAATCTTTGCTACAAAAATCAGAAAAAGTAATGCAGTGAAACACTGATGGGACTGGAGAAGGTATTTATACTACAGTGAAGGATTGATTTACCTGGTAGATGAAACCACTCATTCGAGGACTAGCAGACAACATAAGAAGTATGTGAGGAAACAGCAAAAGGTATCGCTCATTCTTCTCCTGATGAAGCAGAATATTACAATGAAGATTTAATTTTAAGTTTAGCATTTTCAGTATACTGAATTCAAAATCAGTTAATTAAAATGTAAGAAACAACATATATAATATAAATAACAAAAGATTGCTCTTAAACCAATTTTTTTAACCTGGGGTCCATGGAGAACTTATAAAACAATTAGATTTTTGAAATCTGATGTTTCTAACTATAAATGAACGTTATACTGGAAGTCCCTGATGGTTGGCTGAGTGCTGAAAACCCCTAAACTACATTGTAACATTCACCTCGGCGCCGTGGTTCTGGATGAGGACTTGAGACATGTAGAGGACAGAACCCAGGGTCTTAATTCCCTCCCCTTCCCAGCCCCGAATAGACTCCATCAGAATCTGCAGCTCAAGTTCCTTCCTCTTCCTCACTTCCTGACACTGGGCCTGAAGACACAACAACAAACAAACACACACACAAACACAAATAAGCCCAGCATCCCATTTGGAAAGATAACGTAACTCAAACAAACAGCTCATCGTCATTTCACACATCATTCATCCTTATTTACTGGTGAAAAACAAAGAAAATCGATGATGTTGACCTTATAATACTCACTGAGAGATTTTTAAATACGGTCATGCTCTTCTGAATGTCTGGATAATCTGGATGAAGTGCCTGGGCAGAACAAAGGAAGTGAGTTTGAGTGAGTTAAACTGGTATATTATATATACACACACACACACACACACACACACACACACACACACTGATATAGAGAGCGATTTAGTTTCATTAAATAACCAGAATACTTACACTACCATTAAAAATGTGATGTCAGTAAGCTTTTTAAAAAGAAATTAATAATTTCATTCAGCAAGGAAGCATTAAATTGTTTAAAAGTGCCAGTAAAGACATTTATAATGTAATTATAACAAAACATTTCTATATCTACTGCTGTTCTTTTGAACTTTCTATTCATCAAAGAATCCTGAAAGTATCATGGTTTCAACAAAGTAGCACAACTGTTTTGAAAATTTATAATAATAATAAGTGTTTCTTGAAAACCAAATCACCATATTAGAATGATTTCTGAAGGATCATGTGACACTGAAGACTGGAGTAGTTTGCCATCACATGAATAAGTTACATTTTAAAATGTATTAAAATAGAACAGCCTTGGTGAGCATTAGAGACTTCCCGTCTTTCGGATGAGAGGTTAAACCGAGGTCCTGACTCTCTGTGGTCATTAAAAATCCCAGGATGTCTTTCGAAAAAGAGTAGGGGTGTAACCCCGGCATCCTGGCCAAATTCGCCCATTGGCCTCTGACCATCATGGCCTCCTAACCATCCCCATATCTGCTGATTGGCTTCATCACTCTGTCTCCTCTCCACCAATAAGCTGGTGTGTGGTGGGCGTTCTGGCGCAATATGGCTGCCATCGCATCATCCAGGTGGATGCTGCACACTGGTGGTGGTTGAGGAGATTCCCCCTTCTATGTAAAGCGCTTTGAGTGCCCAGAAAAGCGCTATATAAATGTAAGGAATTATTATTATTATTATTCTTTCAAAAACATAAAACAACCTGAAAAACCAACCCCAAATCTTCTGAATGGTTGTTTACATTTTACTCATCTTAGCCAAAGCATTTGGACAACTAGGGCAGTTCGGTACCTCCATGTGCCGTTCCATCTCTTTCAGTAGTGTGGGGTATTTCTCCAGTCTCAGGAAGGGTTTGCTCAGGCCCGTGGTGAGTGTGAGGATTCCAGGGCTGTTCGCACCTTTACTTTCCATAAACTCTCCAAATTCCTCACTGAAACATACACACACACAAACACTGATGTCATTCATGCTATTTCTGAAACTTAATGGTTAAGAATGAATGAAAAAGCATCTGCCCAGTGTTAATTATCTATGCACGTGTTTCTGTAAGTGTTATGTGTAATGCGTTGTGTTAAGCACCTGTGTTGTGTGAGAACGTTAACCGCAGATGGATGGTTGGAGCAGTAGGTCACATACAGACTCCTCATCTGAGAAATGAGGGACAGGAAGAAGCCTCCTATTCTCTGCTGACTCTCTGGAACTCTGCACACAACACACATCAGTTCATTTGGAAATAATAAATGTTTAATAAAAATAAATAAATAAATAAATGTTAAAGTTGAACAGAGCTAAAAATCATATACATCTTAAAGTTCTGAAGTGTAAATCCAGATAAGTACAGTGCATTACTGGTAACTGCCACTAGATGTCAAACTGTGACAGACTGTGAGTGAGTGAATGAGAACAGGATAGGGACTCTTACTTAACGCTTTCCTCCAGTGAATTCACCAGTGTCTGCTGAAATGAGCTGATCTCCTCTAGATTTCCCATGATGTGACTGATATCTGACATGCTGAGCCTAGAAAGAAAGAGAAATGGGTACTGAACTACTATTATCTCTGGTTATGTTGGACTCCCGGCTTGTGTTCTTACCCGTCTGTGGGCTGTAATGCTCTCAGATACGTTGAGAGGAGAGTCTGCAGCTCTTTACAGTATTCTGTCTCTGTTTGTACAATATTCTGAACCACCTGTGCATTTGAGAAAAATTTACAATTTTACATTTTTAAACATTGTTAGTTTTATTAGTATTACTTTGCAACCGTGTAATGATATAATAAGATACACACCAGACTCTGTGTTGTTCAAATGTCATGTATCTATATTATCATGTATATATATATATATATATA